CCAATGTATGCCCAAAATTATTCCAAATACATTGCTAGGTAATACCAAGAATTTTAATGTAAGCGTGTGTTCATTGAATCTCCAAGTTATTTGTTCACACTTCCTAGTAACCAACAACTTATTATCAGAAGCAACCATTACTGAAAAATTCTTGATAAACCATGTTCAGTCCCAACAACTTGACCCATTTGACATTAATGAAATTATGTGTACTCCCAGAGTCCATAAGATAAGGGACAGTCTATTTCTTAATAATTCCTTTGATTTGCAATGTATTACCACCCAACATTCCATGTAAAGTAGTTTGTTCTTTCTCAAAGTCCATGTCTTACACTACATCGGCCTCAATTTCTTCCTGGGCAAAGAAGATAGCGTTGGGCTTACCCCAAACTTTACATTTCAACTTATGCACATAACCTACACAATCCCTTTGTAATCATGTCAGTAACTTCCTTTCTAAATATGGAAGTTGAGGTGCTACCTTTCGAATCGGTAGTTGCTGAAACAAACACCTAAAGCTTCAAACTGGTTGTAGAATGACTCTGCTACTCTCACAGATTTTTTCAGTTTAGTTTTCATACCTTCCAAAAATTCTCCCAAATCTTCCTCTTGTTGCAATCTTGATAATTCAACAATATCCTCAAAAGCACGATCATCAAATCGATATGACATATCTTGTGATATTTCTTCCCAAGATTTATTCTTGAAATTGGGTTGATGCATGCAATGACGCTGTCATGAAAAAGCCTTTCCATCCATGGATAACAGCAATAAATTTTCCACATTATGCCACTAGTCTAGTTTCCAATTCAAAGATTTGTTCAGTCTTTGCTTTCCAATTAAAGAATTTGTGCCATTGAAAGGAAATTGAATGTTCCATAACAGATTACTCGAATTGGACATGTTCGAAACTCATTTGGCAATATTCATGATTGTCTGGCCGCTATTTATGACTGTAATGAAAGAAACTAAATTCTCTAATGTATACTACAGTGAATCAATGATATGTATGCAGCGAGAGATTTGAGAGGAGATCTTGAAAATATGAAAACAGAAGAAAGATGATAAGTTGAGAAATGATAAGTTCAGAACCTGCAAAATCGGCTTTAATTGCATATGTCCCCTTGACTAAAGACAGAGGCACAAATTCTTGTACAATGGGTGCATCAGCTAAATTGCTCTTGGGAATATGTTTGACCCGGTCAAAGAAATTTTAAAAGATTTATGCAGATTTTGATTACCATGAAAACTTGGGATTTTGAATTTGGTTTGCTTACCAATCTTTAATTGGATGTTATAAAACTAATTTTCAGAAACAAATCAATCGATTAACCAACTGATTAACCTATTAATTTGATCTTTTAATATTAGGTTTGAAACTGTTACAGTGAAGTAATCGATTATTTTATAAAGAAATCGATTGTTTCTTGTACAGAATGAAATTAATAAAATGATAACAGAATTTAAATCGATTAAAACGAAAAAGAATCGATTAAATTTGACATCTTAGTGTTTTTAGTTGATATAAATCCTTTTTAATCGATTAAAACAGACTAGACTCAAATCCCGAGAACATTTTAATCGATTAATTCGCATTTCAATCGATTAAAATTGTATCTGACAGCTTTTCTCGATATCCTCCGTAAGTTATTTTAATCGATTAATACTGTTTTATATCAATTAAAACAATCAGCTTTATGAAAACAGAACCTGATTTGCTGCTTTGACCATCAAGGGATTCCCATATTTTGTTCCTGCAAAACAAATTTAGCATGTTTCTGGTACCCTTTATAGTTACTGGGTCCAATTAGGTTATTTGAAATGACTTTAACTTTGGAAACCATTTCATTCTTCCTTTAGGAATAACATACTTTTTAATTCTACAGTATTTTACTGAATGACCTCTTTTCATGCAGTAAAAACATTTAATCACAGAGTATGATTTCCTATTTACCTTTTTTTTCTGAATTTCATCCTAGATTTAAATCCTATTCCAGATTTGTCAAAAATTAGTTTTTGTGACCCAAGTAAAACGTCAAGATTAGCTTGACCTTGTGTAAATCTTGAAACGGTTTGTGATAAAAAATCAATTTTCTTTTGTAATTCTGAACAATTATTACAGGGTTTATTACATGCACAATCAGAATTATCATGAATTAATTTTAAGAAATCACAATCAGTTTCATCTTCAAGAATTCTCTTTTCAAGAGAGTCTACTTTATTTACAAGCCAATTATTCAATCCTTTTAGCCTATCATTTTCTTTTTGTAGTTTCTTAGCCTCTTCATGCATTTCATTAAATGCTTCTTGTAATGAATTATAATTCACTAAATTTGAAGAAGAATTAGAACTTACACTGCTGGATTGAAGGTTCTGATTTGCCATTAGACACAAGTTGGCTTCTTCATTATCAGAATTGTCTGTTGATGAAGTGTCATTGTCATCCCATGCTACATAGGCTCTCTTTACATATGCTGTCCCTTCATGAGTAACCTCAAGAACATCCCACATCTCCTTGGCAGATTTGCATTGGGATACCCTGAAAAACTCATCCATGTTAAGTGCAAAAGTAATAATATTTTTAGCAGTGCAATCATTTTGAATTTTTTTCTTTTCCTCATCATTTAGACTGGACCATTCTTTTTCTGTAATTAAAGGACCATTAGAAATTACATCCCAAACATTTCTATCAATGAATTCAATAAAGATCTTCATCCTAATTTTCCAAAAAGGATAATTTGTTCCACAAAATAGTGGAGGTCTGTTAATAGAAGCTCCCTCGAGAAAACGGTAATCTATTTTCGACCATGGATCGAAGAACTTGAATAACTTTCAAGCACCTCGCTCCGATGCCAATTGTTAGAAAAGTAGTTTTAGATCAAGAGGGGGGGGGTGAATTGATCTTTGAAAGTTTTTCACAAATAACAGATTATCTATATGTAAAAATAAGATTTCAGATCTATTCTTGAATCACAAAGCAATCAACCAAATATAAACGCAGCGACGTAATTAAAGGAGAGAAAAGTTAAGAAAGATATCACTGGTGTTTTATACTGGTTCACCCAATACCAGGGCTACGTCCAGTCTCCAGCCAAATTCCAGTTGGGTTCCACTAGATCAAATGTTTTATAGATTTACAATCCTACACTTAATCTACCACAAGAACCAAATTCCAGCTCTCGCACTCAACTTCTCACCAAGAACCAAATTCCGGTTCTTGATAACCTCTATAACAAAATTCCAACTGCAGAGAAACCAGTGCCCAAATTCTAGGCACTAAACCTAACCTTTCATGAAGAACCAAATTCCAGTTCTTTATAACCTCTACAACCAAATTCCAGCTGCAGAGAAACCAAGTGCCCACAATTCCAGGCACCAAACAATACAAAAAGAATGTAAAGAAATGAAAAAGAAGAAACTAGAATGCTCAAACCAGCTTTATGCAATTACGTCGTAAGTGTTTCTTCTTCAAAAGAAATCAAGTTGCCTTAAGAAAGATTTTCAAAGAACTTCTCAAAAACTGATGCGAATCTTTCTTGAAAAGAATGCTAAAGTTTGCTTGATTGATTGCTCAAGGATGTGTAAAAACCGATGTTCAATGTGTGTTAAAAAGTTCAAGCCAAACTATTTTTATAGAAGATTTTCAAAATTGTCTGGTTTAATTAATCTGTTAAAAAATTCTTTTAATCTGTTAAAAGTGCGCTTTAATCTGTTAAAACTTCTTTTAATCCATTAATACGTTCTTGATTCTTTAACAGATTTATTTTAACCGATACGACAACGTTTATATCAATTAAAACACATTACAAAAAATCTTCTAAGTTGATTTAATCGATTGTTTCGCGATTCAATCGATTGAAATACTCGCAACACTTTCTTGTGAAACTTTTCAAGTTATTTTAACTGATAAAAATAAGTTTTAATCGATTAAAACGCTGTGTAGAAAATTTCTAAGTTGTTTTAATCGATTGAAACAAGATTTAATCGATTAAAATAGTTCTGATCGGTCATAACCAAATTTTGATCGATCATAATCGATTCTGATCGGTCATAATTGCATTCTGATCGATCATATCTGATTCTGATCGGTCATAATTGTATTCTGATCGATCATCCTGAACTCCAAGTGGTTTTAATCGATTAAAATCAAGTTTTATCGATTAAAATACTGCAAAAACATTTCTCTTAACATTTTGAGTGATTTTAATCGGTTATTTCAAAACTGTATTCGTTAAAAACTTATTTAAGAAGGCTTTTGTCAAAATACTTTGTTTTTAATTGTTTAAAACATTTTTAGAGGCATTTTGCAAAATCTTTTAAGTGAAGAAACCTCATGCAGCAGAAAAGATAAAATGATTATACCTAAGCATAGCTGAAAACACACTAATTCTTCTACTCTTTTATGTTAGTGACTTTTGTCCACTGCAAAGTTGCTTTTGACTTCATCTTTGACTTCATCAAATCAATGAGATCTTTTGCCAAAGTATTTTAATAAGATCTTCATCACTTTCACAATTTCCTTTCCATGGCACAAATTTTCATGATTAGCGAAGGCTGAACAAATCTTTGAATTGGAAAATAGACTAGTGGCATAATGTGGGAAAGTTATTGCTGTTATCCATGGATGGAAAGGCTTTTTCATGGCAGCGACATTGCATGCATCAACCCAGTTTCAAGAATAAATCTTGGGAACAAATATCACAAGATATGTCATATCGATTTGATGATCGTGCTTTTGAGGATATTGTTGAATTATCAAGATTGCAACAAGAGGAAGATTTGGGAGAATATTTGGAAGTTTATGTTTTTTTTTGGCTCATATAGTTATATCTGAGTCAATAACACGTGTAAAGATAAGGGAATCACGCTTTAGTAGCATGTTATCCATAAGGGAAAAGGCTATTATTTCTCCCAAGTTTCTTATTGGTGAGCAATTCATTCATAGGGGATTCAATTTTCCTAATCTTCTTGAAATTCAAGGAGTTCTTCCTTTTATCCAAATGCAAGGTACGTACTATCCTGACTTAGTTAGGGTATTCTACTCTAGATTCAAATTTAGAGATCAAATTGCTACATCTCGTGTAAAAGGGGTTACAATAATTCTTGACGATGATATTTGGGAGAATGTTGCTCACTTTCCAATTAGAGAAGATGCTATTAACGTATATGGTGAGCTAGATGACTTTGACAGGTTCCTAGCTTATCGCTCTTTTTTGCGGAATCCCTCCATGGAGATTGGACGTATCCTTCATGCTGGACCTTTAAAGAAGGAAGAACACATGATTCTACATTTACTTGTATGGATCTTATGTCCCCGGGCTACGAATCATGCCCAATGCTCTTCCATTGATCTTCGTATTATTCATGCCATAATGAATAATGAACCTTTAGATTGGGGCGTTCTTGTCACAATGACCATGTTAAAAGCAAAATGTCATCCCACATTCAAAATTCCATATGCTTTACTTGTCTCTCGTATTCTTGAATATAAAGGAGTGAATGTTGAAGGTGAACAAGCAGTTAGAACAAATAACTTGAACCGCATGCTGGACAACACATTAATTCAACTCCAAATGGTGCATGTCAATGATATTTATGTTCACAAAGATGACGTTCCTAATCAAGGTGATGCTAATGAAGACTCTGATGAAGATATGCCTCCAGCAGCTGAGTTTCCCTTTGATCAAATCCGAAGTGTTGGAACTTCCTCTACTCATCATGAAACTTGACAATCCATGGAAGACATGTTATCCGACATGAATCGGAGGATGCAATCATTCTTCACTCTTTCTGGAGTACGGCATGAGGAATTAATTCGTCGTATATCTCGATGTAGATGATAAAGTGTGCCATTTAGAAAATAGATTTGATGCACACTTTCATAGTGATGATAGTGAAGAATTTTAAATTTGTTGTTTGTTTTCTCCTCTTGTGATGTGTCGCCGTCGTTCCTTTCCGACGTCCCGGGGACGTCTTAGAAACGTTTATGCGAGCGGTCGCGAAAAGATGGTTTAGACTCGCGTATTTGTTTTAAAAGGTTTTCGAAAAGAGGTTCTTATGGAGTCGCCACCAATGTTTTAACCTTAAACATTGGAAAAGGAAAAAATGTTGATTTTAAGAAAAACCGCACTTGGCCATTATAACCGGAGTTGGGTAAGGGAGTTAGTTACGTGTGGGGAAGGTGTTAGCACCCCACAACGCCCCTTTCGGGTTCCCTATGACAGATTAATTCATTTAAATAAAGACTACAAGAAATTACGCGATTACCCTATTTTATTACATAATATTAAATGGCTATCTATATGATTTTATTCTATGTTATATGTATAAAATGATGAATAAAGCTAAATAAAGCAATAAAAGAGATATTAAAATAGCTATCTACATGATTTTACTCTATATGACATAAATAGTAAATAAAGCTAAATAAAACAATAAATAAAGCAATAAAAGAGAAGAGAATTGAAAAGAACCTCCGTAGCAAGCTTTGTATTGAGAATCTCCAACTATGAGGATGCGTTTTGGCAACCCCTCTTTCTACACAGTCTCTCCTCACCAATACAAGATCGACTCTACTAAAAATTTAAAGAAGAATCAAATGCCGGAATATAATTCCTTAACCGATTGTTACCTATTTAAGGCAATCGGAAAGATCATTCGAGAGAGGGAGAGAAGTAGACAAGTGCTCTAAAGTGTTTCAGAGCTCTCTGGAGTGTCTGTGGTGTCAAAAAGTGGCAAATGAGCCTCCTATTTATAGTTTTTCGCAGCTGGCGCACTTTGGGACGGCCGTCTGGGTTGGGACGGCCGTCTGGACTGGGATGGCCGTCCCAAATGGCAAATTTACACAGAGCGGGACCCCCAGGAAGGCCGGGACGGCCGTCCCACTTAAAATGGGTTTGGGACGGCCGTCCCAACTTTGGGACGCGCGTCCCAACTGGATTTAAGAGGTTGGGACGGCCGTCCCAACTGGGACGGCCGTCTCAACCTGTTCTGGCCAGTTTCGCGCGTTTCGGGACTCCGGGAAGCTTTCCTTGCCTGTTTTGGACGTCAATTGATGCCGATATGTGTCTATTGAAGCTTTATCTCCATATGGGAAGTCTCCTTGGCTCTTATTTGTAATGCTAGACGAGCTTTATCTTGTTACGGGTGATCTCCTTTATCTTTATTTGAGAGGCCGGGCAAAATTAGGGGTCTACAGCTGCCCCCCCTTCACCTGCCTAGCTAATTGGTCGGCTGGATATGTCGACAAAATTAGTTGGTAGGGGAAGGAGTTAACCCTTTTGCCCGGTTATCCTTCGGATGCTGCTCCTTGTTGATCCTCCGGATGATAAATATTTTGATAGGTACCAACCCCTATCTGGTTTGAGCTTTTCTTTTTAAGGTTTTGGTGGGTACCTACCCCCACCTGGTATGAATCTGCATTTTTAAGGTTTTGGTGGGTACTTACCCCCACCTGGTACGAATCTGCATTTTGCCAGATTCTAGTGGTTTTTACACCCCCACTGGGTGCGAACCTGCATATTGACTAGGTTCTAGTGGATTTTACACCCCCACTGGGTGCGAACCTGCATATTGACTAGGTTCTAGTGGATTTTACACCCCCACTGGGTGCGAACCTGCAAATTGACTAGGCTCTAGTGGTTTTTACACCCCCACTGGGTGCGAACCTGCATATTGACTAGGTTCTATTGTGCGAGTCTGCATCTTGCCGGACTCTAATGGTTTTTACACCCCCACTGGGTGTGAACCTGCATCTTGACAAGGTTCTATTGTGCGAGTCTGCATCTTGACGGACTCTAATGGTTTTTACACCCCCACTGGGTGTGAACCTGCATCTTGACAAGGCTCTATTGTGCGAGTCTGCATCTTGCCGGACTCTAATGGTTTTTACACCCCCACTGGGTGTGAACCTGCATCTTGACAAGGCTCTATTGTGCGAGTCTGCATCTTGCCGGACTCTAATGGTTTTTACACCCCCACTGGGTGTGAGTCTGCATTTCGACAGACTCTGATGAGTACCTACCCCCATCTGGTACGAATCTGCATTTTGACAAATTCTTGGAATGCTCTTTTTGGAATATCTTTTTGATTGATGAGTACGAACCCTCATCCGGTTTCTGGCGACTTATTGTCTCTGATCATGCGCCTATGGGGAGTAATTTTTCTTTTTGATTTTTTTGTTTTAGTCATCCGGTTTTACCGGGGATTCTTGATTTTTGGCTTTTCTTGTTTTAGCCATCCGGCTTTGCCGGGGATTATGTCGATTGCCTCTTTTTAGGCGGGAATCCTTTTGGGGATTTTGAATTCTCTTATTGATTGTGCCTCTTGATTAGGCGAAGATTCACTTGAGGATTTTGTTGTGCCTCTTGATTAGGCGGGAATCCACTGGGGATTTATTGATTCTTGATTGTGCCTCTTGATTAGGCGAGAGCCCACTTGGGGATGTGATTTCTATTTGGTTGTGCCTCTTGATTAGGCTGATGTTCTATTTGAGGATATTTGTTCTTGATAATACCTCTGAGTAGGTAGATGTTTCTTGAAAGCTTTGCTTGTATTACCTCTTTTAGGTTGATTTCCCGTTTCTTGGGGATATCGGCTCTTTGATTGTTTCTGAGTAAGCATAGGCATTCTTGGGAGTGAAGGTTTTGTACTTCGCTGGGGATATTCATATTGGGTGCTTAACTCCCTGTGGATTTGTAATTTGTAATTTGCCTTTGCGGTTAGGCTTACTGGGGAGAAAATTTTCTTTTTGATGATCCCCCGGGGGGTTGATTTGCCTTCCTGTGGATGGAATTTTCTCATTTTCTTCTTTTATAGATTTTTCTTGATGTGCTCTTCTTGGGGATTCTCTTTCCGGTTGCCTCTCGGTGATGTAAAGGACTTGACTTCGTATGATGGGCTCTTGTGTAACCCTTATTCTCCGTTGGGGAATGAAGTGGAGATCCTTATATGAGTGTGCTTGATGACTCATGTGGTGACGAAGATGAGTCGCGAGGTATTCTTTTTGCTTTGCCTCTGGAGTAGGCAAGGATCCGCTTGGGGATAATTGAGCCTTTCCGTTGGCTTTTCTACATTGATGACTTTTCTGGATGGAAGATGTTGATTGC